GAGGGAGTTCTGGGTTAGGTGGGTGTGTAGTTGGCTGGCGACGACCTTTTCCAGTATTTTGGCTGTGAACGGTAGATTGGAGATAGGGCGGAGGTTGTTGAAGTTATTGGGGTCAGAGCCAGGTTTTTTCAGGATAGGGGTGATGGCTGCTGTCTTGAGGGATGCGGGAACAGTTCCAGTGGTGAGTGAGGAGTGAATGATGGCAAATATGAGAGGAAGCACAGACGGGAGGCATGATTTGACCAGTGTGGTGGGAAGGGGATCCAGCTGACAGGTTGAGGGTTTGGATTTCCGGATGAGATCGTAGATTTCAGAGTCGACGGGGAGAAGAAAACTGGAGAAGTACTGACGGTGTGGCAGGGGGAGTTGGTGGGTTCGGAGGGGGTCCAGGGGGGAGAGAGCCTGAGTGCAGTTGTTGGTGGATGTTGGAGATATCATGGGGATTGGGCTCGCTTTTATACTATTTATTCCTTGGTGATGATTTTGACCTCCTATGCAATAGTATGTGTCTGCACAGCCGGATGAATGTGATATTTTGTGTGTGTTTTTCTTGTAATTTTTCACGTGCAATCTCATGCACATTTCAGTCGTCGCCATTCTGTTTAATTCACTACAATGCCAGTAGCCTACAGGTCAAAAAGTACATTAGAATTACGACAAGCTAATGTTAGCATTAGCTTGACCTAGTTTCGATGTGCAATTCAAACCATCATGGAAAATGGGTAGGGAAAATGTCATAAACTGAGCCTGTCACATTGACATTTGTTTCTCAGTCAAATTCAAGACAACGGTTTTATTAATGACTAAAATTGTGTGATTTAAGTTTAATACTCAATTATGACATCGCTCCATTCAAGCCAATAACTTTCTAGAAAGAAGCAGCAAGAAGGGGCTGTCACGTGTTTTGGGTTGTGGATCTATCATGCAATGACCTACTCTATCCAGCAGGGGCGCAAAGATAGTTGTGGCTCTGTCACGGTTGTGGATCTGCTTGGCTCTCCGGCTCTGCAGACACGTACTATTGGTGAACAAAGACAGAGACGCTGCCTGGCAAAGCATTGCTGACCATTTAAACGCGTAAGTAATTGTTTTCATTTTTTTAATTAATCTTTTAGCCTATGTGTACACGCACACACATTTCTAGAAATTTAGATTTTAAGAGTGAATGTTTTTGAACACTGATTAGGAATAACCCATAACTGCAATAATTGTCTATTTAATTTGTAATGTTTTAATGGATAAATTAGTCTTGATGTCTTTGTTTTTTGTTGCATCTAACGGGTTCCTCATCAATGAACGGGCATGCCATGGTTGTGGAAAAGGTGGTGGTGGTGCAAGAATACCCTGCTTATATAGATCTGTGTCAAATCAGCACTTACTGAGTTTCTACTGTGTTTGATGACCTGTTTTCTCACCCTGAAACTCCTCACACAACTATGGCCCAGAGGAGATCATTAAGATCCTGATGAAATTAAAGCTGTTTAAATCTTGTTGATGAAGTTGATTTTTTTTTGTAGCATGGATTGAAAGGCATTGTTTATTTGTTTTATAGTTTTTGTGTAATGTGATGGTGGTATTCACATTTTCACATGTAGATGTTCTTATTTTGACAAAATATATCCATATTGGATGAATGTAGCAGCTACATAGGTAACACCTAAAACCAAAGTAGGCAAATTTAGAAAAAATGGGCTACTTCATGTAGCAAGGTTGCATCAAAGACTGAATAAAACGGTAGAAAAAAACAGAGGAGATGTCTCTTTTTTTATTTAGTGGGGATGATAGTGGTCCAGTGCCCTACATTTAAATAAGGGAGAAGACACAAATGAGCTTGTATACAAATAAATTACTTGTCTCATAATTTGGCATCGTCTTTAGATTATCATCATTATCAGAATGGACCGTAAAAGGAAGGTATTTTTATAGAAAATTGTGGCTGTTGTCACCTTGTGTTTTTTTTTTTTATAAGACAATTTGTGCCTTTATTCTTTTATGCGTTGACTGTACTTTGAGGGTGACAGAATAAAAGAAAAAAAATCAGATATTTCCAAATAGTCACCGCTGGTGGGATCAAACCCACAGCGCAATTAATGGTATAGTTCAGTGGCACTTTTCGCCCTGCGCTCTGACCACTCACCCACTGACTTCTCTGTGTTCCACGGGGTTGGTGTAGTATCTGACATGTCGAGGTTTAAGGTTATTCCTGTGTTGAAAAAAAGGTCTCAATTTATGTTTCCGGACAGGAACATCATTCATTACAGATATGGATTAATTTAATGTGAGACATGAGTTTCACAAATTGTGTTTCAGAAGCCGGTTGGACATTCTCGTAGACGCAGCTAAACTAAGCTTGACCATAAGCCTGTCCAGGACGCTGAATTTTTTTTGTAGGATGGTAGGGGAAGGTCCCCCCCCTTCACCTCTAATTGGCTAGAAGTGCTGGGCTCCAATTGGTTATTCCTAATGGCTGTGAAAAGTCATCGTCTGTGGGGTTGGGGTTAGGGTAAGGGTTAGGGCTAGGATGAAAATGAGGGTTAGGGTCAGGAGATTCAGAAGTGCGATAATGTTCTGTAATGTTCTGTTCGATGTACAGAGCCGACAGCGTTTGGCTTGAGCGTGTGATGACGTTTCCAGCTTTTCTAGCCAATCAGAGGCAAAGGAGATGGGACTTTCCCCTACCATATATATATCACGTCTGCTACCAGGCTTGTCGCGCTGGCTGAGTTACCATGGTTACCAAGCCACGCTAGCCCTAAGCCTCATTTGTGGAACCTCACTCTCACTAAAGTTTGCGAGAATAACCGAAATAAGCCAGGCTCTGAGCCATTGGTGGCAGATATACAAGGGCGCTCCTGGTGGAGCCCTGCGTGAGCCAGCGTGAGCAAAATGAGATGTCTGCTGTCTCCCTGAAAATTATTCTCAAAGTAAGAAAATGGCGCTATTATAATAATTATTCCATTAAATGTGTATTTCAGTCCATCAGCGATCTCTTCACCCAGCGTCGGGGCAGAATTGGAATGTCTGTTGTCTCACGCATGCTCAGAGCACAGTTGTGCATTAGCGTTAGGGGCGCTACGGGCCAGTACCCAAGCTTTCTGCTCTCTGACGCATGCTCAGATCAGTTAGCTTATCCTAGCCAAATTTAAAAAATCCTTAAGGGGCACCAGGGACGAGCGCCCAAGAGTCCCTAATTTGAATTACATAAGCATGTTCATAACCAGGTTGGTCACAAACGAACACATAGCTACAATAAGGTAGCTAGCTGCTCTACTGGGAGCCAGACCGCCCCTTACTCTGCACTTGGCTGCTAATGACAGAAGATGTGGGAATGACTATCCCAAACCCCCTACAGAGTGATTTACTGGAGAACGCTGTGCTGTCCATTAAGTAGGTCCCATCTGAGAGGAGAACTATGCAGGACAAACTAAAGCTGAAAGAGCTCGATCCAGATCAACCAGACGTTGCCGCACAGCAAGTGACCACCGAGAAGGGCAAACAATATACGTAGACATTTTCAAGAGCATGGTATGTGCGCAAAGCATGGCTAACTGGATGTCCAGAGTAAGGCCCTTTTTCGTTTCCCCGTGTAAAATAATGGAGACAAAAAAAAAATTATAAAGCTGGCAAAATAAAATTTTGGCTACTGAAACAGTCAATCAGCAAAATCTGTTTGTAGAAAAGTAGATTATATAAAGATTAAAACCTAATATAAAACCATAAGTTTATTATAGTGAGACACTACATAAAAGCCAGACTAAAAAGAAAGCTATTAGACAATGTTCATGCCACAATGTTAGAAATCAATCAATTTTAAGGCAGGATGAAAACATCTTGGAAATGTCCTGGAAAATGATTTCTAGAATAGAGTTGGAACCCTGCATTTGTTCAGCCAGTTTTAATTCAGTTCAACTGAAATATCAAATGTAATAAAACTGTTCTGTATTTAAAGCATTTGTGTCCTTTGGCTGATCACACTGATATGCAGCCTTATTTGTTATTAATGTGGGTCTGCTCTTTACTATTTTTCTGCTGTTGTCTTTGTGTGCTCCTTTGCTGTAGCAGCCTAACCTGTTGAGATGCAGGTGAATGCACACAAGTACACTACTGTCAGTTTCTATATCATAGGATTACACTGAATGTAGGTAGGCTGTGTGTTGGCCATAATGCCCTGTTAATAAGTTGAAATACAGTATCCCCGACCCATTGGTCTTTGTAGGTCAACATATGTTTCACACACACACACACACACACACACACACACACACACACACACACACACACACACACACAGGGCTCTGGTTTCCAAAACTTCAGCCCCACCTATTACTTTTCTCACCAGCCACCACTGCTCTGAGCTAAGCCAGCTGCGTGGAATACACCCCTGATAAGCATAAATGTCCACTCTCGTGGTCCTGAATAGATTGACAGCACTTCCTCCTTCGTTGTGCATCAAGCTATCCTACATCACACCATGTAGGCGAACACCTTCAAAATAAAAGCACGTAGCTACAGCAGTGTGTAAGCAGATCACCATAGAAGAAGAAGTGTGTAAGCAGATATAAATAAATGTGAGGCAGTTAGTGACATTGGCAGTTTTATTGCGGCTATTTTATGAATTACAAATGAAATCAGTGCTGAAATACAAAGTGAGATAATCGTTCTAATACCAACATGATTGTCTAATTTATTTTAAACTAGCTCCTTCATTTAGCAAGCTAATAGGTGTTCTGTCAAATGGCGCTTTCCTTCAAAAGTAACCCCTAGATCCCTGGCATAGAGTCTATGATACCCAGTAGTTAGAGATCCCACTGTGTCTGGGATTTGATAAGTATATCATTGTACACTGAATTCTGAACTAACAATTGCTTATCATAGCGCATAAAATGCTGTATGGGTGGTGGTGAAATGTGCAGACATAAAGTCAGGGGATCATCATCAACAACAGATTTTTGTCCATTGAGATACGCTTTTCATGTAATTTCAGATTAAAGTTTCACTACGGATACAAAAGACACGTTGCCTTTCCCGCAAACTAAACAAACATCCCTTTTTAATCGAAAAACGTAAAGACGTGGCGTGAAACACTTTTACTATTCACTCACGCTACGACAGCAGTTTCAACAAAATAGCAAAACTCGTCATAACACCGGACATCTTTTGTGTAGCATCAGACCAAGATATGTTAGCTTGACGGATGCTATTTTGTCGTTAAGGAAGTTTGTCGCTGCGCTTCTGGAATAAAACCCCAACTTTTCGGACTTGGAGGTAATGTCAAAAGTAGTTACGTCATTTTTTTTCAGTTGGTACAAATCTTTGTGGTTAGGTTACATATTAAACTCATTCGTTAGCTGTTTCTGACTCTGACTTAGCCCTAGCTAACGTTCCTGCACAGACCTAGCTAACCTAGCGCGTGCTGTTGTGTAACGTAGTACGATGACTAGTTCACTAACCATAACAGTACGGCATGTTGAAGAAAACAGAAATAATATTATTTGTGTGTTAAAAAATAGTGCGTGAATTGAAGTGACCAAAATCCTCAACTACAATGGCTATGCTTTACTTTAGCTTACATGGCTAACAAGGTTTTAACCCCAGCGTTGCAATCTCCATTGTTCATTCACCCTTTGCACTTAGATTATTACGCAGCAATCCTCGCTCATTTCCGCTACTTTTATTTGAGCTGTTTGCCGTGTGCATGTGTTGTCTTTGAAAAAAACAGACATAATGATGGCGCATGTTATTAATTTATTGACGGGGAACACTTGGATACACCTTCATGTCCTGGTGTTGAGCTCGAACGAGTGTGATAAAAGTCTGACTCCAAACTGTTCACCTAAACTTTGGGCGAACTTTTCGTATTGAGTGACTCATTCGCGTTTTTCCTCATTTACACTCATTTTCTTTCTCATTGTTTTTCAGGACAACGACAGAGCTAACAACCAGCTGCAGCTGAATCCCAGCAGAGACTCAAGGGCAGCTGGATACTGACTGTGTGTGTGTGTGTGTGTGTGTGTGTGTGTGTGTGTGTGTGTGTGTGTGTGTGTGTGTGTGTGTGTGCGCGCGCGCGTGTGTGTGGAGGATGTCTACTTCACCTTTATACAGTTATCATGACAGTGGTACACGCTTCAGGAAAAGGAAAGCTCGGTTTACCTTCAGTGAAGTTCACATACTGCTGGATGAAGTGAGGAAGCATCGCATGGTTGTAGTAGGTACGTGATTTTAAATCGGTATCTGTATCACTGTAATTCAGTGGTCCTGGGGACAATCATGGCTCTTGGAAAAGGAGTGATCACTTTGTAGCTTAAAGTTCTTGTGAGGAGTTTGTTTCAAGTTGTGAAACAGACTGGAATAAGGACTGATGTCTCTTTGTGAGCACAGAAAGCAAACAAGAAAACAGGCTATCTATAAACAGTTTTGGTAATTTCTTTGAGGGGCCCTTCTCAAAAGGATAAATAAAGTTGTATCTAATCTAATCATGTCTGAAACCAATGACCAATGAGGTAGGTGGCAGAGCTGCACATAAAAAAATAAAAAACAAAAAACTTATGCGTCACTAAGGATACTTTGATCCTTTTTATTTTCAATTTAGGAGTTCCTTCTCTGATTACTAAAATCAGGGATATGTGTGTGTATATTTTCTATTACATCATGATTTTTAAACCTCAGATTTTGTCTCACAGTAGTCGACAATATCATATATAATTTGATCCCATTGCTTAAAACTATACAATTTAACACAAGGGTGAGTGCTTAAATTGCTTTTGTGCCTAAAGGCTATAGGCATTGCAATGTTGAGCAAATAGTGTCTCTGTACACCAGTGTTATTTGCATACATTTAAATGACCCATTATGTATTAATTTGGAGCAAAGTATCTTGCAGTGTGTAAACAGTCCTTCTTACTAAATATGTATATATATATATATATATATATATATATATATACATATACTACAGGCCAAAAGTTTGGACGCAAGGCCATTACAGGCCGAACAGTTAGGAGTAACTTCAAGTTTTTGTTCACAATGCTTTTTTTTAAATCCAGCATGAGTTGTATGTATTTTGGGATGTATTTACTCCATGATCAGATGTTGCTTTCATGGAAATGCACCATTTTACTCCATATACCTTTAGATATACATTAATGTGAACACACCATTGCTAAATACATGTGATAGAAAAAGACCTGGACGAAAGAGAGTTACTACAAAAGCAGAGGATAAACATACAGGGCTGTCTCAGAAAATTTGAATAATGTGATTTTCTGCAATGCAACTAAAAACATGAAAATGTCATACATTCCAGATTCATTATACATCAACTGAAATATTTCAAGCTTTTTATTGTTTTAATATTGCTGATTATGGCATACAGCTTAAGAAAACTCAAATATTCTATCTCAAAATATTAGAATATCATGAAAAAGTATACTAGCAGGCTATTTAACTAATCACTTGAATTGTCTAATTAACCTTTAAGCCTTTAAAAACACTCAACTTTGTTCAGTAAACTAAATCACAAGTATGGGGAAGACTGCTGACCTGACTGCTGTCCAGAGGACCATCATTGACACCCTCCATCAGGAGGGTAAGATACAAAAAGAAATTTCTAAAAGAGCAGGCTGTTCACAGAGTGCAGTTTCAAAGCACATTCACAAAAAGTCTGTAAGAAGGGGGAAATGTGGCAGGAAACGCTGCACAACCAAGAGAGAGGACCGCAGCCTTAACAGCATTGTGAAGAAGAGCCGCTTCCAGAATTTGGGGGAGCTTCAAAGACAGTGGACTGAAGCTGGAGTCCAGGTATCAAAAGCCACTGTTCACAGACATGTCCGGGAAATGGGCTACAATAGCTGTATTCCCATGGTCAAGCCACTCCTGAACTCAAGATAACGGAAGAAGCGTCTGACTTGGGCCATGGAAAAGAAGCACTGGACAGTTGCAGATTGGTCCAAAGTCCTCTTTTCAGACGAAAGCAAGTTTTGTATTTCATTTGGAAGTCAAGGCGCCAGGGTCTGGAGGAAGGCTGGAGAGGAGCAAAATCCAAGTTGCTTGAAATCCAGTGTGGAGTTCCCACAGTCAGCGATGGTTTGGGGAGCCATGTCAGCTGCTGGTGTTGGTCCACTGTGTTTCATCAAGTCCAGAGTCAATGCAGCTGTGTACCAAGAGATTTTAAATCACTACATGCTTCCGTCTGCTGAAAAGCTCTATGGAGATGATGATTTCATTTTCCAGCATGATCTGGCACCTGCCCACAGTGCCAAAACCACCAGTAAGTGGTGTACTGACCATGGCATTACTGTCCTCGATTGGCCTGCCAACTCCCCTGACCTGAACCCAATAGAGAATTTGTGGGGTATTGTGAAGAAGAAGCTGAAAGACACCGGACCCAACAATGCAAATGCGCTAAAGGCCGCTATTGAAGCATCCTGGGCATCCATAACACCTCAGCAATGCCACAGGCTGATTGCCTCCATGCCACGCCGCATTGATGCAGTAATCCATGCAAAAGGATTCCCAACTAGTACTGAGTGCATTAATTGATATTTTCAAATGTTTTATTTTGTTTTACTGTTATAAATCTTTTTTTTTACTTGGTCTGAGGCAATATTCTATTTTTTTGAGTTAGGATTTTTGAGTTTTCTTAAGCTGTATGCCATAATCAGCAATATAAAAATAGTAAAAGGCTTGCAATATTTCAGTTGATCTGTAATGAATCCAGAATGTATGACATTTTTGTTTTTTTAATTGCATTACAGAAAATAAAGAACTTTATCACAATATTCTAATTTTCTGAGACAGTCCTGTATCATTGTCACCAGTAAGAGAGATCGGTGAAAGACAGCACCACAAATGAGGGAGAAAATCAACATGATAAGGTTGAAACCCATATCGCTTACAACTGTGAAATGACGTTTGAGAAAGGCTGGTCTGAAGGGTTGTGTATCTGTAAAAAAAAACACTTCTTTGTCCACAGAACAAGAAAAAAAGATATGAGTGGGCAAAAGCTCACAAAAATTGGACCTATGATGACTAGAAACAAGTTCTCTGGACTGATGAAAGCAAGTTTGAACTGTTTGGTTCAAAACGCAGAGTCTATGTCTGCAGACAAACTGGTGAACGTCTGAAAGCATCATGTGTTACACCCACAATTCAGCATGGAGGTGGTAGTTCCATGGTATTGGAATGATTTGCAGGTGATGGAGTAGAAGATTTGTTTGAAGTAAAGGGTATTATAAACAAGGAACAGTACCACTCCATCCCCCAGCATCATGCTGTTCCATCTGGACTTAGACTTGTGGCTCATAAGCTTGTTTTGCAGCAAGACAATGATCCTAAGCATCCTGCCAAGCTCTGTCAGGGTTACCTTGACAAAAAAGAAGAGGAAGGTGTTCTTCAAAAGATGGTTTGGCCCCCTCAGTCTCCAGACCTTTCTCCAATTGAGCTTGTGCGGGATGAGTTGGACCGATCGGTCAGAAAAACGCGTCCCACGAATCAGCAGTCTCTTTTTAATGAACTTTAGAAAGCTTGGAACATACCTTAAAAAAACTTGTGGAATGAATGCCTGGTTTATGCCAAGCTGTTGTTAAAGCCAGAGGAGATTACTTTAAAGAAAGCAAAGTCTAAGCAACAATAACTCAAATACCCAATAATTATAGTCAAAATGTCTTCTGATAAGTTACTCTTTATACAATAGTCATGGTTATTGAGTTGCAAATTATATACATGAAACTATGATCTTTTTTTGTATATATATATATATATATGTGTGTGTGTGTGTATATATATATATATATATATGTATAGTAGTACACATAGTAAAAAAGATGACATCCTATACCCCTTTTTGATTGAAAAAAATCCTTTCTTGTCTTTAGTTTATGTGAAATGGTTAAGTTCTTGTATTGTCTGAGGAATGTTTGTCATATGGTCTACATAAACTGGAATTTGAGGGGTTAAAATTCTGAAATTGGATTTTTTTAAAGATTAGGACTGAAGAAGGAAAAAAAATACAAATTATTTAAAGTTGATATAACATTAAAATGTAGTACAATAATTTTGCTCCATTTTTTTTCTCAAAAAAGCTTGAATTGTATATCTTTTTTACTTTTTATTAAATTTGAAAGTAAAAAAAACTTGATTTAAAAAAAAGCTCAGGCAAGGAGGTTTGAGCAGACACAGATATAATATGATTGGTTTTTTGTCTGTTAATTACAAAACGTGGCCTGCCACAGACACATTCTTATTTCAAACACTGAAGGTCATTTTATTCTTCCCCTTGCAGGTAAATTCAATCGTGGCGTGCCAACAGATGCGAAGAAGCGCACATGGGCAGAGATTACTGCACGAGTTAATGAGATCGGGGAGTGCCAACGGGAGGTGATCGAGGTCATCAAAAAATGGTCTGATCTAAAATGTGACACCAAGCGAAAAGTGGCAGCCATGCGGGCAGGGACCGTCCCCCACAGGGGCCTCAACTCACGCCTTTCCAGAGACCTAAACCCTACAGAGAAAATAGTTCTTCAGATTCTGGAGATGGATGAGGAAGACCAAAATACAGCTGACTTTGGTCCACTTGGAGACGATGATGACGTGCCAGAGGATGAAGAGGAGTTGGAGGAGGAGGATATGTTGGGAATGCCAAGTTCTCCGAATGGTGGAGTTGATGTAGGATCTGTGGGCCCACCAGCCTCCTTCTGCTCAAGTAAGCGCTCTCAGTTAGTAGTTTGTCCCTCATTGCTTTCAGATTCAATCCCCTTTAAATGCTAAACCTCAGTGAGGATTTTCTTGTTTTGTTTAAAGCATATTAAGATATTATAACAAGTTCAGTCCAGTTATACATCTATAGGTAATGTGTATGTATTAATTAGTACATGTCACATTGGGGGCTTGTACGTGTTAAATAATCAGTTAATTTTCAAATATTTGGTTGTTCAGGAGAGATCCATGCAAGTAATCTAAGTTAAATGTCTTGGATGTTCCAGGAGACTCGTCTCAGCCTTCCTATGACATGCAGTATGAAATACCTCCAACAGAGGGTGAGTTGTCAAGACTTGGTCACAAGTTAAATTGACTCTGCTATAAACTTGCAGCAAAATAGTTTCAATGCCAAAATGAGCTCTCAAAATACTGCAGCTGCCTCCCAGATTGCAGTCTTTTTAAATGGCAAGCAACTCTGATGACATGATTATTATTTATCTCCCATGAGAACAAACTGGTTTCATTGCTCCATCAGTGGCCTGCACAGCAGGTTGCAAAGAGCCTCTACTTTAGATAATGCAGAACTTTGCTTACACTGCACAGTTACTGTTAAGAAGCTAAGAAAAGGTGGATTCAGGCAATAAGTACCTAATACAAGCCTCTTCCACACATGTACAGCACTCCTGAAAAACTGCAGTGATTGTCTGGCAGTTGTCATATTTGAAGATGTGTGTTGGATGTTGGACATTGTTGCCCTTTTAATGTGAAGCGAACTAAAACTACCTGACCAGCAACTAAAGCTTATGTTACTCTTGTTAAAGCTTCTGTTAGGTTTGTTCTTGACATTTAAGGAATTAATTTAAATTTATGTAAGTGCCCTTATGTTATTCACAAACTACAACCATGTTGCGTGGGGGTAGTTGAGCAGCAGAGCAGCTTTCCATTTTCTGTTTTGGAGTCTGATTGCCTGTCAATAAGAACTAGGGCTGTACTTGAGCCAGGTAAAGCAAAATAAGAAAATCCTCCCACATCCTTACAAGGTGACTAGGAAACAACTGTTAAATCGATAGTCGATCAACACTGGTATCAGTCTTTCGGTTAATGTGGGTGTCAGAATCAGTGTTATCAGTGTTAAGCATTATGTGGTCTTGCAACATTTCTGATTTCAGCAATAAGATAATAACAGACTTTTTTTCTGGAACTGCAGATACTGACGCTGCATTTGGAGACTCAGATGATGACCAAAGTAATGACGTGCTTCCTTCTACTCAAACATCAAAACCAACAGAGGATCACCATGGAAACAATGGCATTCAGAAACAACCTCAGACTTCCTCAGAACCTTCCACATCAACTGCTGCTCTCCCAACCTCTGGCCTGTCGTCACAGAACACAAAAGAAAGTCTGTTACACAACGCACTGCTGAGCCTTCAAGAGCAGCATGCCACTAACATCTTGCTGGAGACGGTCTCACGCTCCCTGGAGCTGCTCTCTGAGTCAGTGCAGCAGCTGGCAGAGACTCAGCAGGAGTTTGTGCGGGAGTCACTGCAACTCCAGAGGGAGACGGTGCAGGTGCTCAGAGACTTCACAGGCGGAGCAATCGCACTCATGCATGACAAACTGAACGGACGGCCGGCATTATAGCAACTGAAAGTCAGACAGAGGTGTTCAGTTAAATCAATGACTTCATTCATGGCTCTCAGGTGCAGGAGTCATCAGGTTCCCCTGGACCCTACTGCTGGTTACTGTACTTTTTGATAGTGCTCAACAGATTTTAAAACTGCATTTGTAGGATCATTGTGTTGATGCTTTATTTTAGTCTGTGTGGTTCCATGAAAAAGAAATTAAGTTATCAGTTAGGAGGTGTTTTTTTTGTTTGTTTGTTTTTTACTACTGAAATTGAGTCTTTTACCAGTCATGTTGTGAATTGTTTTTACTTAGCATACACAACATTGAACACCCCTCTGCCTTTTTACTTTAAACAGCAGAGAGGAGGACCTTTTCATTTTAAACTGTGGGTTTAGTCCATTTTTGTGTCCCTAAAGTTTTAGACTCATCAGTGTCTGGAGGTTATCATAGGTACTGTAGTGGTGAGTAGATTCATATGCCAGACAATGGCATGGTCTCTATATGCTAAAGCTGTTTTAGTTATTTAGAAAAATACCTGTGCATCAGAACTTAATCATTGTCGAATTTTTTTTTCACAACACAAACATGAACACTTGAAATGACAGTTTGAATAATGTCTTTAAAATGTGGAATAATTCCGCACTACAGGGCAGAGACTGTGCACACTGCCATCTAGTGGACTCTCTTAGAAATGCTGGTATTGGCAAGTCTGTGGTTTATTCAGGAGATCTACAGTGGGTATAAAAAGTCTACACACCCCTGTTCAACCGCCAGGTTTTTGTCATGTAAAAAAATTTAATCAAGATAAATAATTTCACAACTTCTTCCACCTTTAATGTGACCTATAACCTGTACAACACAATTGAAAAACAAACAGAAATCTTTCAGGGAGATTAAGTAAAACTAAACAACTGAGATCATGTCGTTGCATAAGTGTGCACACCCTTTTATAACTGGGATTGTGGCTGTGTTCAGATTTAACCAATAACATTCAAACTCAGGTTAAATTGGAGTCAGCACACACCTGTCACCAATTAAAGTGCTTCTGATCAACCCCAAATAAAGTTCAGCTGTTCTCGTAGGCTTTTCCTGACAATTCTTTAGCCACATCTTACAGCACAAGCCATGGTCCGGAGAAAGCTTCCAAAGCATCAGAGGGATCTCATTATTCAAAGATATCAGGTGAGGGCTACAGAAGAACTTCCAAGGAATTAAATATACCATGGAACACAGTAAAGACCGCCATCATCAAGTGGAGAAAATATGGCACAACAGTGACGTTACCAAGAAAAGGACGCCCGTCCAAAATTGTTGATAAGACAAGAAGAAAACTGGTCAGGGAGGCTACCAAGAGGCTGACAGCAACACTGAAGGAGCTGCAGGAATTTCTGGCAAGTACTGGCTGTGTAGTACACGTGACAACAATCTCCCGCTGTCTTCATATGTCTGGGCTATGGGGTAGGGTGGCAAGAAGGAAGTCTTATCTTACAAAGAAAAACATCAAAGCCTGGCTTAATTTTGCAAATAGACATCAGAAATCTCCCAAACGCATGTGGAAAAATGTGTTATGGTCTGATGAAATCAAAATTGAACTTTTTGGGCATCATATTTGGCACACAATCAACACTGCTCATCACCAAAAGAACACCATACCCACAGTGAAGCATGGTCATGGCAGCATCTTGCTTTGGGGTTGTTTTTCTTCAGCTGGAACTGGTCCCTTAGTCAGGTTGGAGGGGATTATGAACAGTTCCAAATACCAGTCAGTGTTGGCACAAAACTAAAAGATGAAGAGGAACTTTCAGCACTACAATGACCCAAAGCACACATCTAAATCATCAAAAGAATGGCTTCACTGGAATAAGATTTAGCGTTTCGAACGGCCCTAGCCAGAACCCAGACCTGAATTCCACGAACATTTGTGGGGTGATCCGAAGAGGGCTGTGCATAGGAGACGCCCTCGCAATCTGTCAGATTTGGAGCAGTTTTGCAAAGAAGAGTGGACAAATATTGCTACATCAAGATGTGCCACACTGATAGACTCCTACCCCAAAAGACTGAGCGCTGTAATAAAAGCCAAAGGTGCTGCAACAAAGTATTAGTTTAAGGGTGTGCATATTAATGCAACCAGGTTATTTTAACTTTTCTATTTTTTATTTTTCCCCTTAAAGGTTTAAGTTTGTTTTTCAATTGTATTATACAGGTTATAGGTCACATTAAAGATGGAAAAAGTTGTGAAAAACATTTATCTTGCTGTCATTTTCTTACATCACGAAAACCTGGCAGTTTGTAGACTGTTTATATCCACTGTATATGCTCATATGGTCTGGGGTGTGAAAACTAGCCATAAAAAAGGTTCTAATATTCTTGATCTATTCTCTAATAAATTAAGTGAAACACTTCACAGCAGTTATGAAGCTACAGTGGAGAGGATGAACTTACTTTATGGAGAGATGGAGAGAGGAGAGACTGATAGAGGGAGATGAGAGGGAGATGGAGAAAGCGATGGACAGAGGAGAGATGATAGAGGGAGATGGAGAAAGAGAGATGGACAGAGGAGAGACTGATAGAGGGAGATGGAGAAAGAGATAGACAGAGGAGAGACTGATAGAGGGAGATGGAGAAAGAGAGATGGACAGAGGAGAGACTGATAGAGGGAGATGAAGAAAGAGATGGACAGAGGAGAGACTGATAGAGGGAAATGAGAGAGAGATGGACAGAGGAGCATCGGCTGACATTTGGGGCACTAGAAACTGAAATTTCTTATATTGAATTTCAAAATTTGAAAATTGAATGATTTGAAATTGAAATGAATGTTTTGAAACTTTTTTTTCTGCTTTGATTTGTATTTAATTTACATGAAAATTCAGCTCTATCTTTCTTAAATTAAAAAAAAAATCAATCTCAGTTCGCAAAATTTAGATAAGAAGAAGAAGAACTTAATTGATCCCCAAAGACGGTCATCTGCAGCATCAATCCAGAGGAACCTAGGAGACTCAGGGACACTCAAAGAGATCAGGGGCCTCATTTATAAAGCTTGCTTACGCACAAAACCTGGCTTGAAAGTGCTTACGCCACTTTTTACGCAAGAGTTGGGATTTATTAAAAAAAAAATAGTGTAGGAATGTGCGCAACTTTAAGCAAACTCTACACCTTGCTTACGCACTTTTTGGAGACAATCGGAGCAAGGTGAGAACAATTGGTTAATGGAAAGCGCGCGTACAAAAAGCCATACAGTGACAGTCGTGCGCAATGCAGCACAAGTTTCAAGTTTTATTTGTCACATGCCTAAATGTACAGGTACAGTGGCAGTGAAATGAAAGTGACGTCTGCGATTGTGCAAAAAAAACCAGAATAATAATAAGAAAATCAAATAATCTATAGAAAGACATAAAATAAAAATTGAAATACGATAAATATCCACTCGTATATACATCCTATGTACAATAACGATGGTGAGTGTTTGATAATCCGTCTTGCCCTGGACCTGCACCGCTGGGTGTAGATGTCCTGGAGGCCGGGCAGTGCAGTACGGGTGATGCGTTCAGCACAACGGATGACTCGATGCAGCCTTTCTGCTCTGAGAGCTGCAGCTGCTGTACCAGGCAGTGATGCTCGCAGAAAGCACAGACGACACTGTGGCGGTGTAGAAAGTTTGCCGATTTGAATTTACAAATGTGCAAAAAAAACAAATTCCATTTACATGCATTTGTTTTAAGATTAATATGACTAAATCTTTTTGGTTAACGAACTTTCACCACATAAGCAGCGGTGGATAACGGAGCAGTTTTTTTGGAACACATGCATGAGTGTCACACGTGCTTGTGTTTTCTGATCCTCACCTGTCGCCGCCACGCTCCGATAGTGCAAAGCCACTTTTTTCTTTGCCTCCACCTTTAGATCAGACCACTCCTTCTTGATTTCGGCAACGCTGCGCCAGTGCCAGCCGCACTTACCGCCACGGCAATGGCGTGCCATTCGGTGGCTTTTCTTTTATTGGTGATGCCACTCGAATGGCCGCCGAATAAGGTCTCCCATCTCGCCGCCACCTCATTTACAAGAACCTCCACCTCGGTCTCTGAAAAGTTTCTTTTTCTACGACTTGCTGATGCCATGATTAAGCATGAAATGCCGTGGATCCATCAGGCTTATTTATGTGCAAATCACATTCATGAGGTAATTTGCATGACCATACATGGTGAATTTTGGGTGTGGAGAGGGCGGGGCATGAATCAAATCCCTGCTGCGCAACTTTCCGGCTGGTCTGTGATTTATAAAGGGAAAGTGCGTGCAGGTGTGCGTAGGCAGGGTTTTATAAATCAGATTTTTTTTTTGCCTATGCACTTTTCAGCTTTTTGACTTACGTACACTTTTAGTATGGATCCTACGCCAGGTTTTATAAATGAGGTCCCAGGTGAGTAACTTAAATGGGATATGAAGATCTTAAGGAGACAGAGGGACAGACATGAGCTCAATGTGCCAGATACCCCGGCAGTCTAAACCTATAGTGGCATAACGAAGAACTGGTTCAAACCTAACCAGCCCATACGATAAGCTTCATCAAAGAGAAAAGTTTTAAGTCTACTCTTGAAAGTTGAGAGGGTGTCTGCCCCCCAAACCTCATACGGTAAATGATTCCAGAAGAGAGGGACCTGATAGCCGAAAGCTCTACCTCCAATGCTTTTTTTAGAGACATTTGGTACAATGCGCAAACCTGCAGACTGTGAGCGTAGCGGTCTAGACAGAAAGTAAGGTATTACAAGCTCTATAAACATATAAAAAAAAACAGTCGCCTGCTATTAGCTAGTATTTTTGTATGGTCATACCAGTAATAATAAATCACCTTCAACTGGCTTTAGAAAAAAAGGACACTTCTTTTTAATATTGGGGCTAACATGTAAATCCGTTAACATGTAAAAGTACCATTTTGCAAAGTGCAACATTAGTTTTTACTCCAAAATTTTTTACAAAAATAGAAATCACCTTAAACAGGTGATTGAACATTTAACAAGTGCAACATAAATCTGAGGCAGATTTTTTTTTAATTCCACTGAACATGTTTCATTTTACTTTGCATCATGCAATTCAAAAGTTCCCCTTTCCAACATGCAAAGTTTTCCTGATTTCTTAAGTGCCTGAACTTTACTGTCAATACCTGGATCGTCATGGATAGCATCTAGACGTTTCCCAGCAAAATCACCAAGCTTGTGCTTTCTTGGATGCTGTTCTTTGAACTCTGCAAACCTTTCAGGGGCAGCAATGGAAAGCTCTGCAATTGGTGCATTCAGGGTAATTGTGTTGCGATCTACTCCCACTATTTTCCAAGAAGCAGTGATGCTCTTCTTCTTGTAGGCCTTCAACACTTTTCGGTAACGTGCAATTACCTCATCTGGCCCACGTGCTGATGGTGAAGAAGAAAGAGGGTAGATATTAGTCTCTGTGAAATAAAGGACCTTACATTTAATAACCTCAAACCATTCATAAAGTTTACTATGCAACACAAACTAACAGAATTCAGTGGTCATAGCCTAACAATCACAACAGTGTCCCAGCTTTCTTGCACAGTTGGACTACATAAAGTGTTTCACATTTTACCTGCAAGTTCACTCATCTTCATTGAAACTGGCAACATTGAGTTACACATCAAAAAATAAATAGCCAGAAACTGTCTCCTAAGTCTTAGTTTTTATTTACATGAATAAAATTACCCCTTGAAATGCTACTCCGTTTGTTTTGTCTCTCCTTTGTTCCTTTCTTTGCCTTCTTCTTCTTTATGTTCTTCTTTCTCTTCCTCTTCTTCTTATCATCAGAAGTAGAGGAGCTTAAGGAGACTGAGGAGTCTGAGGAAGGGTGGGTAGGGAATGACTCTGAGCTCGACTCAGAGGATCCAGTAGAATCAGCATGTGATGCAGATGCTTCAGGGGTCGGATCATCATTTCTCATGTTTCTTGATGCTGTATAAAGACAACACAATGAGATATTGACCACAATAGATTGTTAGGAGATGGGTTCAACTACAGTTGTTTTGAAATAGATTGTGTTGTTAACTACTGCACTATTATAGTAAGATTGTGTCCCTGTTATTTAGATCACAAAGTCTACACATTTATTTACACATTTACGAGATGGGATATACTTTTACTGTCCCCTGCAGGATTTTTTCTTGGACTTAGTACTGTATAACAGTGTAAGTGGTTGCAACCAAATTCTGAATGGAGGAAAAATCCTGCATGTTAGACATGTAGTGAAGTAAAAAAACAGACAATGCTGACATGCGTCTGAGAGGAGTGCGGGGGTGGGGGGGGGTTAGGGTTCAGTTAAGAAAAATAAATAAAACACCATGATTTGTGTAACCAAATATATTAAGATAATATCAACATATTGGTGAACACTGACTTACTCTGAGACAGCTGGTCTTTTAAAAATTCTCTCTCGTTGGTTAGTTGCTTGATTAAGTCTTCCTGACAAGCTATTTTCATTTTAGCCAGCTCCAGCTCATGTTTTTGCTTCTGGAACTTGGCAGTGGGGGCCATTTGGGCAGCACCTGAAAGAAATAACAATTCAAATTTATTACTAATCATGGATTATGCCTTCCAGGAGGGATGTATACAAGGGCAATCTAGGACACAGATAAAAACCACAACATCAACCAAATTACATAAAGTTAGAAAGGAATGGAAGGCTTGTACCATTAAAGTAATCATAACTCACTGAATTCCAATTTTCATGTGGTATTCTTTGTTACAAATAGACATGTGGTAATGATACAGGATACTTTATCACTGTAAAACCTGATTTCATATTTGATTCAAATCAATGTGCTGTTGATGTAAAATGTATTTTACCATCTCCAAAAATGTGTAATAAAAAACAAAAAAACATACAAAAAATAACACATAATCAGACAGGGCACATCTTAAGAGTGAAGCTATATTATTTCCATTATGTAACCTGCATGTTTGTTGGCATAGCTGAAGAAAAAAACAAGTTAGCAAGTTACCAGTTGCATGAACCAGAGTATTTATTAAAACAGAGTTTAAATGTAACCAAGTGCCCCTTTTGGCCACATATCAGGAGTTTGTAACGAGGAGTGACCAGCTCAAGACTGCTGCTGCACCCCTGTCAGGCTGCAACACAAATGCTCCATAAAGTCACTAGCTTTGGCTAGCTAGCTATGTAGCTAGCTGCGTGTTTGGATGTGCACTAACCATAGACTGTATAAAGAATGGACAGAGTGTGCCTCCTTGCTGGGTGAAGCCACTCCGAGAACAGCACCCTTTGTTGATGGGCTGCAGTATAGGTCATAAATCCCGCCTCCGCCAGCAAAGCTTATGGAGCTGTGGACAAACTTTAGAAATTTATTACACAACACATACATTTTTCACCCCTCTGCTTGTGATGTTGGCATGTAGTTACAGTAAGACTGGTTTGTGCTCAAGTCCTCTTTTTTTCTGTGAAGCTTCAATTTTTAAAGTTATTAGGGGGTTCATGTTTTCTATGATTGACACCTGATACAACCTATGGGCGTTCAGGGATTGCGTAGCTCTCCTGAGCGATAGGCTGTTTGAGTCGAGCGTCATCACAGCGACTCTCTGCGACTGCGCGCCCGAATGCGCACAATGCTACTGCGCACTCCAGGAAATACCGAGAGCTATACACTGATTTGGCGAAATGACCGGAAGTAGTACGGCCGCCATTACTGCGGTGTGCGCAGAGCGAACGAGAAGCAGTGCCGTAAGCAGCGAGCAGTGACACAAGCAACCCTGCACAACTATGTCAAGATAGTCTGGGAGGACGTGTGCCGTCATCGGCTGTTACAACAACAGTAAAAGACTACAGTCGTGGAAAAAGTTGATATGTGAGACGCACATGCCGTTACTGAAAAAAGACTGTCCATGTTGCTAAGAGCTGAGCTAATGTAACATCCATTCAGTTCTTAGTTGTGCGCGATCCCATGCCCCGCATTTAGATCTTGGCAGGCATGCATTTCACGGCATAACACTGATAGCCCACAAAACAAATATTTAATTCCTACATTATTTTTTAATCATGTAGGCTTGTGCATAATGATTAATTGCCTGTTAGCTTGTGAGGGTAAGTATAAATGTAGCCTAGCCAGTGTTTACACACACATTTCCTCCTACTTCAGTATTTCACAATGAAATACTTCATACTTTTCATCTTATTAATTCCCAAATTAATATTGGTATTAATTTAAGATACCTTCATCAGTAACCAGAGGCCACTGTCTGGCAAGATGGTGCCAGGGTGCTCGGCTGGCCGTCTGTCGCTCTGCTCTGTGTTAACTGTATGTTTTGTGATTTACCCGATATGCCAAGAGGTTTCAGCTCTCGTTGTCTGTGACAAACTCTGCTTGATATCGGAGGTTACTTCGATTGGTTTACATATGACAAGTCGATTAGTTCTCCTCCATGCCTTGAGGAAATCCCGGCATTTCTTAGGCGCCCTCCCTTCCATCTTGTCCCCCTGAGACGACGCAGGAGAAGACGTGGGAAACGCGGAGGCCTCCGGGTCCGGCTCAAGTCCCACCTGAAGTCGTTACGCCTGTCTGATCGCTGCAGAGACCTGCACCTCCTTGACGTCCGGAAGAGGACAAGAGGCCGTTGGATCCGACCGGTGTTCCTGGACATTGGTGGCTTTGACAGCATCAGCTGTTCGCTGGCCCACGATCAGATGTTGCTGCGTCCCTCCAGCTGGCGTGTTCCTACCAGGAATCTCAGTTTAATGTTTAAATGTAAATCTCCGTTCACTGAAGCGTGCTCCGTCTTCATCTGATACCCCCTAATCTTCACTTGGCTTTTTGGAATGTGAGATCTGTCTCAAACAAAACTTTCTTAATCAACAATTTCTTTACCTCACGGAAATTGGATTTTATGTTCCTTACGGAAACCTGGCTCCGGGAAGGTGAACTTGCCCCTTTTTCGGAGCTCCCTCCCCCCGCATTACCGGCAAAGGTGGAGGATTAGCATCCGTATTCAAATCCACCTTTCACTGCCGGCAGCCTCCAGCTGTTAATCGCTGCACCTTTGAGCTCCAACTCCTTGAGGTAAACTTCTCTGTGACTGTTCTCTGTGCAGTTGTCTATTGTCCACCGAAATTTAACAAAGATTTTATTCAGGATTTTGCTGACTTCTGAGACCAGGCCTCTGGTCAGATACTTTCTCAATCTCATTGACTCTTTTAATCTCACACAGTCTGTTTCGGAGCTGACACATGACAAGGGCCATATATTGGATCTTGTATTGTCATATGGATTAGATGTACAGATAACCGAAATCTGTCATACACCCGTGTCCGACCATCATCCTGTTTTGTTTTCCCTCGCAATACCTGTTGTCTCAACCACAAACTCCGCCCCCCTCCGCCGTGATTGTGCTTTTAACTCTTCAACTCCCTCGCAGTTCTCCGCTGCTTTTAAAGACTCTTTCCTATACCCTCTGGATGATCTTGGTGATCGTAGTGTTGATGCCTGCATGTCTATGTTTGATTCAATCTGTAATGAGATTTTGGACTCTATTGCTCCCATGTCTCTGAGGCGTGTGAAGCCACAGACTGAGCAGGCAGGCGGAAAGAAGGTGGAAGAAGGACAGGTTACAAATTAATTGGGATCTCCTTCATGACTGTCTCTGAATCTATCAGCATGCAGTGAAAGCTGCAAAGGCTGATTATTTTTCCACACTTGTTTCTGTTAATGCTCACAAACCACAGGTTCTTTTTAAATGTATTTGATGCTCTTGTCAATCCGTGTGATGCTGCTTGTGTTGAGCCTTTTTCATTGCTGTGTGAGGATTTCCTGCAGTTTTTTATTAATAAGATTGCTGTTCTTAGGTCCCCGCTCTCTCTTTTGGCTCAGGATCCCTCAGTTCCTTCAGCAGGCTCTGCAGTCTTTCAGCAGTTTGAGCCTGTTACTCTCTCCACAATCAC